CCCCCCCCCCCCCCTCCCCGACCAGAAGCCTTAGTAAGGACTAATTCAATGTTTACAGTGTGCCTACATCAGAAACAGCAAAACTGTTTTTACCTGCTTAAGTGAAGCATGTGAGTTGAACCTGCTAATATTCTAAACATCGTAGTAAAGTAGGTTATAATCACATGTATGCATTCATTTTGGTCTAATACACACAAAATGTACTTAATGAACTTCTTGACATGTTGATTGTGATTCGTATTAATTTGTATTTCAATGACTATTTGTATATTGTCCTTAATTAGAAATGAATTGTTCAATTATCATTTATTTGTTTATTCAAATAAACAAAAAAAATGAAAAATGCCAATAGATTTGAAGTGTGTTATGTTAAAAGCCAGACTGACTGTAAAGGCTTGTCAATCAGAATAGGGAACACAACACAGTATTTTTTATTTCAGATGATGAATGTGCTAATCGTAATTATTTCAAGACAGTTTTAATATTACTATTCCATAGCTGACGAGCACTTTGGAAACCAGTCATACTTAAAGATTATACAAATCTGGCGACACTTTTGTAAACGTTCATATCTTAACCAAAATACAATTAATCCCTTTAATGGTTTGTATTGCTGTTATTAAATGACTTGGGAAAACAATGTTTAAAAAAAAAACATAAGCCTATAATTTAAATGGAAATTAATAAAAATGTGCTAATGTACTCTGACTAGTTCTGCCTCACCTTATTTTAGCCCTTTTCAATTTTTCAAGGGACCCTCTTGGTGGTCCATGACATCCTTTGAGAAAACCCCTGTACACATCACGCTATCTCTGTTGATGATATGTAAAATGTTGGTAACATTCCATTTTATGTTTGATTCAATAAGAGTCAAATGTGGAAATTTCGTAACTTTAACTAAGACCAGCCAAAGTACTCTGACACACACACACACACACACACACACACACACACACACACACACACACACACACACACACACACACCACCCTACCCCTACCTACTACTACTAG